CCCCCCACTACCCTGGAAGTTTCTAGCTACTGCTAATCCCTTTCTTATAGTATTATGGTAAATGTTTAGGGCCTGCTTATGAGTGAGAACATGTAGTACTCAGTTCTTTGTTTCTGTGATAGATCACTGAGTACTATAGACTCTAAATCCTTCCAGGTTGCTGCCATGTCCATAATTTTGTCCTTCTTTATGGCTGCATAAGGCCCTATATCCAAACACATTAGAGGTTAGGACTTCAACATATGAATTTTCAGGGGACATAATTTAGTCCATAGTATCCAGAGAACCTATCTCTATGTTTTCTTTGGGTCCAGAGGTTCCTAGCTAACCTGCCTTCCTTTCTTTACCTTTCAGAGTCTTCTTATGTTTGTTTTAAATATAATGTTCAGGAATAGAATTTTAGTGAGAGGAATAGGGAAAAGTCTACATCATCCAAGAAGCAGAAGGCCTTCCCTCCTCTTGATCTCTTTAAAGGAGGCTTTTGTTACTCAAGTCAAAGCAGTCTCCTGTTTTATTTTGTTTGTTTGTTTGTTTTGGCTTTTTGTTAGAGACGGGGCCTTGTAATGGTGTGATCATGGTTCATTGTAGCCTTGAACTCCTGGCTCAAATGATCCTCCCATCTCAGCTTCCCAAGTAGCTGGGATTACAGGCATGAGACACCATACCTGGCCAGTGTAGTTCTAATTTGCAAGAACCAGGTGTTATTGGGCAAGAAATACATTTGTCAGAATTCTCACAACCTCTGGAGATTGGGAGCATAAAGATCACCCCATAGGTTATAGAGTTGGGAAGAATGTAGGATGTATGATGGCAGATTTACTTCCCAAAGGGATACACTATCTCTTCATCTGGGGAGGAAAGATGCTCAGATAGGATTGGCAAGGATTTAGAAGCTCTACACCTCTGGGAATGTAGCCAGTACATCCATCTCCTTGGACTATGTGAGGAAGAATGAGCAGGAAAGTAGAAATCTTCCCAGGGTATAGACCAGAGAAAACAAGTGTGCCAGAGTGCTGTGTATATCTGTATGTGCATGCACATGGGGATGTGTTGTTGAGAACAGCATCTGAGAGTTACTGACACTTGCAGAGGTGCAAGGTATTGTTTTATCTTTGCTTGCCTGAATCACAGTCTATAAGCTTTCAACCTCTAACATTAATTTCAGAGCTCCCCAAGGCTCTGTGGCCTCTGGAATTTCTGCACCACCGAAGCTGTCAGCGCCTCAGGTGTGGGTATCAGAGCAAGCTCCTCCTATTACTCAATTCCCAACTCTCACTGTTAAGCAGGGCTCCTTGAGGAAGATTGATTCACCACTTTAAACAAGCCTCGATGTACTCAATGAGGATATTACAAGACAAACGGCTCCTGCCACATGCCTCCAGCCCACTGCCCCATGTTTCCATTACATTTGCACCATAGTCATGGTGGATGCGTTTGGATGTAGTTCATTTTCTGCCTTACATGATAAACTTGTCAGCATTTGACCGATCAGCTACTTATACGCAGGGAGTTCATTTGCAAGGCCACCTGGCATCCAGCTCTGTTGTCCTGTTCCCATTTCACTCTGTCTAATGAGCCAGGACCTGGTTCCTGTTGAGTGGCACTGAGCTCCTGGGTCCTGCACAGCCTGCATGTAATGTCGAGTCCCTTGGCTTCTCCCCAGGGATTCCTCTCTCATGCCTGGACGTGGTTGGGGCACTGAAGGCCGGAAAGCTGTCCTTTTTTGTTGACAGCCTTGCATTGCCAGAGCCTCCACTCTCCTGGCTGGGCAGGCTTGCTGTGGGCTTCTTGGAAAGCTGCAGTCTGCCCACTCCACATTGGCCTTGAAGCTGTTTTTAAGGAATGCTTGATCAAGACAACTATTAAGTGGAGCTCTCAGAGATCACCAAGGTATAGCCTTCAAGCTGCCCATGGCCCCTTTGCTGACCTCCACTGCCAGGTATCTTAGACTCTACTCTGACCACGTCAATCTCTGCCTAAGATCCTTCAGTGACTCCCTGTTGTTGCTGAATGAAGTCACATTACCGAGTTTGGCATTCACAGTCCTTGAAGATGAACCCAGGCAATGAGATTGGATGCCGGGATCAAATCCAGCTCCCTCCATTTACTGGATGATTATTGTTATTCCATGCTTACAAGTCAAATATTGTTAATGACCTAAGGTCAAGACATTTTGTTTCTCTGCTCCTCACTCTACGTATAACAGTGATGCCTATGTCATATGCATTCGTATGCAAGCTTAGATTAATTCCTGACACACAAAGATTAGCTAATAGCATCACATCATTGTATTCTTCCAGCTTTGCCTAAATCCTGCATGCCTTCACTCCAAGCTAGAGTTAAGCCAATTACTCACAAGCTCTGCCTACAAGCCCAGGGGGTCTGCTCCCTTGTCCTCCAAGTGCCCACCTCCTGCCACTCCCATGTTTTTATACCCCTCCTGACATGCTTCTCCCTTCTTGTCTGCTGCTCTGAACCTTATCCAGGCCTGGCAAAGGCCTTCCCATGCTCTGAAGGCACCGGCTAGCTTGGGAGCCTGCAGGGACCCCCACACAGCACACAGTGCAGGGCTGAGCACCATGGCCATCTACAGGGATACCTACTGAAGGGAAGAGGAGCAGATCGGGGAGCTTTGCAGAAGGGGAAGAATCCTTACCTTGTCCCAGTCTAAGTATAATCCTCTGTCCCCCACCATCACATGAGGCTCAAAGCCCCAAAGGTAGCGGGTTTTTTCTCCTCAGAAGGGCCAGGCCCCTTTCTGAGCTAGGCGTGTAGATCCCAGCCCCACCTGAGCCAGGCCAAGGGAAGCACACTGAAGTCCATTACCAACCACGGACACTTTCCCGTGCCCACCTTGTGCTGGGGACCCAGGCTTCACCCTCAGCAAACCTACAGACATCAAGGAAGGGAACCAGATCAGGGATCCAGGGGCTGCAAGTGCTGGATGGACAATGGCTGCCTGAAGCATACAGGTCTGGGAACATTGGCGGGGTCATGTGCTATGCATTAGCGGGCAGCGGGCATAGACAGGCAGGTCCAGCCCTGGGCTCTGGGTCCAGCCCTGGGCTCTGGTCCTGACAGAGTAGAGGCTCCATATCTGTGCTGAGCCGGCAGGTTTCAGAAACAGCGTGTTCTGGGTGTCAGGAGTACTCCAGGACAGGGCTAGCACTGCTAGTGGATTAAAGAGTTTGGAGAGGGCTTTTGTAGGCTAGGTAGGAGAAGAGTTCCTGTCCTGGGAACAGCCTGCACAATGATGAGATCTAATGTGCACAGGAATCAGGAAGTAGTAGGAGGTTGTTTGTGAGGTCTATGCAAGGACGCAGGGAGGGAGGGAGGCAAGTCATGGAAGCCTGGGTGTCATACTCAGAAGTCTGAATTCTCCCTTATGGACAGTAGGAACCATTTCAGGTTGAGGTGAGTGACTTGGTGATTGTGCCACACTTAAGGAGCTCAAGAAAGGGAATTTTCCCAGGGCCTGGACTGGCTCTCATTTACCTTTGGGTCCTTAGGGTATGGCCAAAGACTTGATGCTAGTCAGATTGAGGCAGGAATGCCCAAGAGGACATGGAGAAAGTGAGGCAGCCTCCTGACTTCATAGGAACCAAGAGGGGCCCTGAAAACACAGGGCTCCCCAAAGTCTTACCCTAGACAGGAAGGAGGAACGAATGTCTGAGGCTGAGCTGGTTTCCCAGAGTGGAAGGCTGGCTGCGGGAGACATCTCCTTCCCTGGGGTTTGCAAAAAGTAGAAGGAAAGGGGTGAATGGGGCTGGAGACTCCTTTCAGGCATCTGTGGACACCTCTTATGAACCTGGAGAAATCACGTGGGCAGAGCAGAGACCAGCACAAATGGTGTTCACATCCATCCATGAACTCAGTAGGTACTGAGGGGCCTAGGCTTATGGGAGGGTCTTAGGGACAAAATTGTTAAACTTTGGTTTCAGTGGATTTTTAAAATATTGGTGAACTTTGAACCAAAATGCAGGCTATCTACTTCCACACTCAATATTGGATGGTGGAGAAAGAACACCATCAGCATAGTAGAGACTTTTGTTTAGAAGGAGAAACACAGAGAAGGAGCAACCCTGGCCACCATCAAGCCCCATCAGGCTTTACAAAGCTCCCTGTGCTGAGTGGGAAAAACTGCCAGGGCAGACATTCTGGCAGCCCAGTCTCTATTCTCCAAGAGAAACCCATATGTCCCCCATGGAGAAGTCAAGTCCTTTGTGCCTGACTCCCCCTCCTAAAGAGCTGTCCTTGTGTGCATTCCTCCTGGGGTGGAGAGGATTCCCTTTTGAAGACCTTTTCTTGTAGGAGATTGTCCCAGAGCCTGGGACTTGTTAGGTTCTTAAGGTGAGAAGCAGTTGCAGGCCAGGCTTGGTGCTCCCTTGGTTCCGGGTGCCTGAAATGGCTCCTAAGAGCTCATCCAGATATGAGTTCAGGGGTAGCCTGGCCTTCTACCTGCAGCTCTGCCTCTGAACCAAAAGCTTGGGGGGGGGGAAGCAATACCCTTTCTTCAGATTTTCATGTGAAATTGCTTAATTTCACAATTTCAATAACCAATTTAAATGTTTGAAAGTCATAGTTCAGGACAAATAAACATGCCTGTGCAGAGATGTGGCTCACGGTGCCAGAGTGGAGGATGCTGTTGGATCGGGGAATTGGGGTCCCTCCACTGAGGTGGACTGACCTGAGGGTTTCAGTGTTCCCCTTCACCCTGGCAGGCAGGACTAATGGCCCACACATCTGGGGGTATAACTGACCCCAGGACTCTTGTAGGGACCCTGAGGGTGAGTTGGGCCACAGGGGTAAGACAGAGGGTTCAGGATAGTTTGCCTGACTTCACATGAGGGACAGGGTGGGGGTCAGGGCTGACTCAAGATCTGGGTCTCAGTGTAATGTTACTGGAAGACAGGGCTGTCCTGTCATGTGTGGGCCTCTGCAGAGGGAGCCGTGGGCCTGAGGTGGGACAGGTGCTAAGGTCATGCTTGCCTGCCCTGCAGACTCCACCAACCGGGACTCGCTGGACATGATCGAGCGCTGCATCTGCCTGGTGTGCCTGGACGCGCCAGGTGGTATGGAGCTCAGTGACACCAACAGGGCGCTCCAGCTCCTTCACGGGGGAGGCTGTGGCAAGAATGGGGCAAACCGCTGGTATGACAAGTCCTTGCAGGTAAGCTCCCCGTCGTTGGCCCTGCAAGTGCATACCCACGCCCCAAGTGAATGAGCACGCACAGTTCAGCGCCCTGGGTCAGCACATGCTCATATCTGGCAGGCATAGTTGCTGACCTCTGCTGCCTGAATGCTGGATCTGAGGGGGCCAGGGGAGCTGAAGGGATCCGAGATGTGCCTCTAGACTGGCCAGAACTCTTCTCAGGAGCAAGCGAACAAAACCGTCTCAAACTTCCTAACCTTCCTGCAGCCTTTGGCAGGAAGGTCTGGCTTAGACCTGGGGCCCATTCCCCATCTCCCATCACACAGTGAGGTGGGGCCATACCAGAGCCAGGAGAGCACAGCAGCTCCCACTGGAAGAATCCTTAGTGCACTTAGTGAGAATCATGTCTGATGCCCAGAGCTGTCAGCTTTTTTGAACATCCACCACCCTGGCCAGGCCATTTCTACACATCTTCCTCAATCCCTGAGAAGTAGGGCAGCCCGGCATTTCCACAGAAGAAAAGTCAGAAGATGAAATTAATAAATTCATATTTTTCATTCTCATGACATCTGCTTAGAAACAAGACATTTACTTTGGCCTAGAGAAAAATACCCATGTAGATGGGGATGTAGTAAAGATCAGGCCATTCATCTCATTTCTCTATACCTTTTGTTTTCCAGCATGCTAATCCTGAATCTAGTCTTGTTTATTTTTAAAGCCCACACTTTCACAATGGCTATATAAAATAGCGGGCAAACCATGTTTCTACTTTGGGTGAGCATAGTTCATGTTGATAAGCATGTCTGGGCAATGTCTCATTTTCCTCTGTCTCTACATTCTGCAGGTTTTCCTTTGTATTGGTTTGCATATTGATTCTATTGTTTCTGATGAGCTTTCCTGCTGCTGTGTCAGCTGTTTAAGCCTTCACAGTGGACGCTAATGGTTTGTCATCTTTCCTGCAGCAAGCTATGGGGATGAAATGATGTCATGGATGCACAGGGCCTGAAAAGTAGTAAGCCTCAGGGTAGCAGTGTTTAAAAGACTCTGCTTTTCTTTCTTCTTTTTAGTGAACGAGACAGAAAAGCACTAATGTAGGAGCAATACTCTCCTCCCCTACCTCATGGGTAACCTCCAGATTCCTTTTGTTAGCAAGACAGATTATCATATGAGTCAGACAGAAAGGCAGGGGATGCTGGGGGAAAGAGTGAAGAACCTGCAGGGGATGAGTTTTGAAAGAAGATTTGTGGAAAGTTTGTTTGTTTGTGGAATGGGAGTAAAGATTCAGGCATCTGGCACATGGCGTGAGAGGCTGGGGGAAGGCAAGGAGAAGGACAGTTTATAACATCTGGAGTGGTAGAGTGCCCTGGAGGAGATCTCAACAAATATTTCAGGAGTTTGGCTAGTTAGTTGGTTTATGGATGGCAGACTAGTAGCTCTTAAGTGTGATGGGCTACAAGGGAGCCTTGCTTTATTTGGGTTACACTTCTAGGACCAAATCTTGTTCTTCTCATTCTTTTTCCCCAGTACTTTTATGCAGTATGTTCATTTTCCAAATCTTTGTGAAGTCATTTTTAAAAAGTTATAAGTAATTTCTACATTCCTATGTATCCTTCATATGCCTTCTCTCTAATCCCCATTTCAATTCATGCACTAAGCCTGATTGTACCCATTTTCAATGAGAGAAAACTGAGTTCCAGAGTGTTGAGTGTCTTGCCAAAGCTCTCCCAGTTCCCAGTGGCAACAGTAGAACCAAAGTATGGGACTCTGATTCAAACCCCAGGCAGCAATTCACAGAGCATCCTCCATACACATTTCCTTCGCTCCTCTCAAGGGATATTTTATTTCTACTTAGGAATCTGCTTACCATCCAAATCATGTCATTATCTTTCACCTTCATTCATTCAACAAACACCTACTATGGAGTAGGCACTGGTCTAGATCCTGGGAATAAAATCAATGGTAGCGAAACAAACAGGATCCATCAGACAAATAGCCACACAAAGTACTGCAGGATGATGTCTATGATGTGCTCTGGGAAGGTGAAAAAGGGTTAAGAGAGCTGAAGGATACTGCCCATGCCCTGAGGACAGCCTGTACAGACTCTGTGTGAACTCCTTAAGGAATCCCTGGACTGCTTCAGTCAGTGAACTTGGGGCACCACTTTCTATGCCCAGAGTCTTTATTGGAAGGAGCTCTCACAGTGTAGAGCTGTCTTGAGAGTCTCATATTCTCAGGTCACTGCAATCATGTGCATGATTCTCTTCAGGAAATAATGGGCTTTGGTGTCCTTGGAGGAGAGGCGGCTCTTGAGAAGCTAGAAAAAGGGGTGGTTGGAGGTTAGCGGGGATGGAGGGCGGGCCTGGAATCAACAGGTTGGCTTGAAATGCTGACTCTCTGGGGGTCCTCCCGCTTTCTCTTCCCTGTTGCAGTTTGTGGTGGGATGGGATGGCACCTGTGGTGTGGTATGCGAACACTCCCCATTTGATGGCATCGTCCTGGTGCAGTGCACAGAGCATCTGCTCAAACACATGTGAGTCTGAAGGTGGGCCCCTCAGGGGCAAGGAGGGAGGTAGAGGCAGACTGCCCACCTCACTGGGCCAAGAAAAATTTGAGTGACTGCCAGGGGCTGTGTCAGTTTGGAAAGTATCTTAGAAAAAGATGAATTTGAAAACCAACTTGAATGAGAAATCATGCACTTCAGGGGCTGTGGATAGAAGGCACAGCCTGGGAAGATTTCGTGGAATCAAGAGAGGCATGGTAAGGAATTCTCAGGAAACCTCTGCCTTGATCTGGGAAGCCCAGATCACTACCTATTGTTTGTTTGGAGTCAGTGCTAGTGTGACCACTCATCTAGCACAGAGGGGAGTCTCTGAGCCTCAATGCTTCCATCCCTTGGGATGGGTCTTTTCCTAGTTTCTGAGCTGGCTGGAATGAGGGTTTCTCAGTACCTTAAACACATAGTGTTCCTTCCTCCATTCACGATTTTGCCCATTCTCTCCTAGGACCTTCTCCCTGCATCTAAGTCTTCAATCTCTTCCATGAAACTCTTTAGGATCGCTGAAACCCAAATCATGCCTAGCAGGCAGATAATCCTTGTAGATAGACCACCACCACTTGCTTTTACATTTCTCTCCAAGTGTTATGTAAGTGTGGTGGTGTAACATGGTCTAATGGAAAATAAATAAAAGAAATGATGGTCTTTGGAGTCAGATAGACTGGATGGAATCCTGGCTCTGCCACTTACTGATCCTGGTGACCTGAGTCTCGGTTTATTCTTCTGTGCAGTGGTTCAGGGGGCAGCTGATAGCCCCTGAATCTCCGTGACCACACACACTAACAGTTAAGACAGTTGCAGAGGGCAAAGAAGTGATGCTAGTGCAGCTCTCTGGCTGCAGGGTCTTAGGAGGTCGCTTGTCTGTGCCTGCAGGATGCAGAGCAATAAGAAGCTGGTCCGAGCAGACTCCGTCAGTGAGCTCCCCGCCCCCAGGAGGCTGAGGTGGAAATGCTCCCCAGAAATTCAAGGTCACTTAGCTTCCTCAGCAGAAAAACTTCAACGGTAAGGAGAAGCCAACATCTCCTTTGAGGTGATTCCCTGGTGGTCACCCTGCCCCCCAAAACCCCCCAAGAGGCTGTTTCCCTGGAACTATCCAAAGACCCCAGCTCCTCTGCCTCTCCTCCACACCACCTCCAACCTTATGGAAATGTAGTCAAACTACAGGGGAGTTATAACTCTTGGGGAAATAACCTTGCCGAAGTATCCGTCATTTCCATAAAATGCAAACTTGGAGCTATTTTTTTCCACAGGTTTCACCTGACTGAGCAGAGTCAAGACTGGGAAATCATCCCCTGCTTTGGGGGGTGTAATCAACAACTGGTTTGAATAGGTTATTTGAATCCAAGCTATTTCAATTTGCTTGAATTTACACTGCAACTTGACAAGGGGGCCTATTTCCCCTCGGGGAGGGGAGCTGTTCAGGTCCTAACGGACCCAGGTGGGAGGGCCAGGTGCTGGGGCAGTAGCAAGCTGAGGTGGGAGCCACCGGCTGGCAACCAGGTCAGGACTGTGGTTGTTCACTCCCTCATTCAGTAAGTGAGCATGAATGCATTCATTCATTCATTCATTCATCAAAGCATGTGCAGAGCTCTAGTGTGTACCAGGCCTGTGGTGGCTTGGAGAACACAGAAATATAAGTGCTATGGTGCCTGCACTCCACACTTTAGTGAAGGAAGTAGACCTCCAGACCAAAACATGATGTAATAACATTAGTGCCCAAACCAGAAAGAGCCAGGCAGACCTGAACCCATAGAGAGAGAAGAGCTGAACTCTGCCAGGACAGTGAGGAAGGGCTTTGCAGAGATGGTCCTTGAAGAATGGATAGGAGTTCATGGTGCAGGCAGAAAGTCAGCTTGTTCAATCTTGTACAGGTTCATAATGATCCAGGCTAGTCTGGAGACTAGCAAGTCAGAAAATGACCAGAGCTGGGCCACAAAAGGAAAGTTGAGGCCACACTGTGATGAGCTTCATTGTCCTTCTCCCCAGAGCCTGCCCTGCTAGTGGTGAGGAGTCTCCAAAGGATTCTGTGCAGGGAACTTGGGGGGAGCCAGTGAGGAGACTGTAGGAATAGCATGAGTGAGCAGCGCAGTGTGTGGCTAGGCTGAGAGGCTGAGCAGTAGAGAAGTTCCCTCCACAGAGAGCTGCTGTGGTGGGTGTCTGGCTTTGGTGGGAGTAGATAGACCTCGGATTTTCTACAAAGTGATGCTCACATCTCAACTTTACAGGGTTGTTCAGGGAGTAAGTTAGCCACTAGGGGAGTGAATTGGCAGGCCAGTAAGTCCTGAGGGGGACTGCTCACTTTCAGGGGCCTGAGCAGACCCCACGGGCTCTGAGACCCCCAACTCCTCCTTGTAGAAGATCAGGAGAGCCAGAACAGACCTGTGGATGGGGAAGCAGGAGGGGCCTTGGGGGTTCTGAGTGGTCCATGGAAGGGGAGTGGAGTTTGAGTGGGCATAGCTTGGAGAAGAAGTTTCCAAGTGGCTATGGTGACAGTGAGCACAGTCTGTGCAGAGTCTGTCAACATGTGGATCTGAAGGGCGAGTTCCTGTGGGAATTGGACTCCTTCCCTGTGTCCCCAGCACCAGGCACAACCCCATCAAGAGCTGAGCTCCTGTGAGGCAGGAGGAATAATTCAAGGAGAGGTGGGCAGGAAGTACTGAGTCCTGAGGGAAGGTGTGAGTGAGGGGTAAGGGTACCTACCTAGGGCTGGTGGGCAAATGGGTGGACACTGCTCTAGTAGGTGGTCAGTCCTCACTCCAAACTCACTATAAAAAAGGAGATTGGTCAATATGGGGGACAAACCAGTGTCCAAGAGTCTCAGTGTAGACTTAGGGGATTTTCCTGTTACTCGACAATGACAAAGGCCCAGGCATGTCATGAGAGGCTGAGCAGCAGTTTCCGGCTAAGATGAATTTCCAGTCACAGGGAAAGCCCTAGATGAGCCACCCTTGCTGCGGTGACAGTGAAAAGTGGTCAGACCCCAGGTCTTTCTTTCCCACAGCACCACAGGGATGAGTTTGGGGAAAGAAATACCACTGCAGACATCTGAGAGTTGAACCTTGACATCAAAATAATCCATAAGCAGGCCAGGCACGTTGTCTTAAAGGGGTTGAATGAATGGCCTCCATCAGGCCTGCTTCATAGGCAGTGGGCTTCCAGGACTTTTATTGTGGGCAGTGTTCTCCCTGCTCATGCAAATGTCTCTCACCTCCATGCCCCTCCCTGTCTCACTGCTGCAGCCAGGCCCATTTCCCTACCCACCCCGCCCAGCTGAGCTTACGTCAGCATGGAGTAACCCCAGTCCAGTGTACCTTCTGCTACTTTCATAGGTCAAGGAGTGTTTCTGACACTTCTGTTCACTCCTGGAAGGCAGAAACCGTGTCCTTGCCTTCTGGAGCACTAGCATATGTACCAGGCTCAAGAAACCCAGGTGGTCTCTGGTGTGTGGATTGTTTTGCATGCAATAAAGGTGTCTTTTTTTTTTTCCCACAGAATAGTAAAGAATCTTGACTTCACTGTCTATAAGTTTGACAGCTATGGGAAAACATTCATTAAGAAGCAGAAATGCAGCCCTGATGCCTTCATCCAGGTGGCCCTCCAGCTGGCTTTCTACAGGTGAGCAAGGGTGGGATAAATGTATACCCAGGTGAACTGACAGACCAGGTGCTCTAGAGTTTAGGGTCTAGAAACATCTTGGCATGAGAGATGACCTAGAGGACTGGGGGATAACAAGGCAGGTTGCGTGAAGGAGGTGCCACCAAAACCGGGTTTCAAGTATAAATCCAACCTCAGAAAAGAAAAGGAAGGATATAGCATAAAGAAACTGCCTGGGTGGTGGTCCTGGGGAACAGCATTCCAGGGAGCTCCAGGGGGCCAGAACACAGAACTGAGGAGAGCCAGGTGGTGAAGAGGACTGTGAGGTGGAGGAGGCTGCTCAGCCCACCTGAGCCCTGTAGCTGGTAATCTCTGCCTCCTCCATCTTTCCAACCTTGCTAAAAAAAATGGGACCAGCAGCCCTCCAGTTAGTCAAGCCAAAGATTTTTGGACTCATCCTTGCGTCCAAAATCTCTTCTCTCATCTCCCATACCTCTACATCAGTTCTCCAAATGTGCTTCAAGCCTGGCCCCTGCCCGCCCCCTCCACCGCCATTGGCTCCTCCCAGGCCACTACCAGCCAGCTTGTGCTTGGCCAACTGTGGCACACTGCCCAAGGGTATGTGCACTTCCACTCTTTGCCCCCTATAATCCTGTCTTTATGAAGCATGAACTTTGAAATATGCAAATCAGACTCCATCTCTTACCACTGTGAAACCTCTCACCATACTGAGAACAAAAGCCAGGCTTAGAAAGGCCCCCTGTGGACTGGCCTCATCTAGGGCCCTCCCCTAAGCTCTCTCCTGCCTCCTGACCTTTGCTCTGGCTGTGCCTCTGCCACACACCAGTCACCACCACTGCTCACATGCCAGCCCCCTCCAGCCCAGGCCCCAGTCATCAGAGCCTTTCCTGTCTCCTTTGTCTGAAACAGCCACCTCCATTCTCTATCATACCACATTGGGTTTTTCTTTTCTCTTCAAGGTAATTATTCATGTGTACTACCTCATTTGTGGATTTGCTTTGTTTTCTAGACTGATCCCCTAACCCTGACATTCTGGGTATCTCACAGCCCTCTGCATCTCCAGTGCCCGCACCACAGAGTAGGTGTTAGAGACTGAATCTCAGGTGGGAGGCTTAGCCAAGGCTGGCCCAGCCAGGTCTGGGATTTAGGAAAATCTCTCTAGTGGTAGCCCTGGTCACTGTGTGTTGGGGAAAGAGGTGAAGAGTAGGGAGGTCAGGAGTGAAGGCAGTAGGAGTGGCCAGCAGGCCTTCATAGGAAATGGAAAAAGCAAAATGCAAAATAGTTCTTTCTGGAGGTGGGGCTGGCTCCTATTGGTTCTAGGGGTCCAGAAGCAGCAGCTCATAAATTATCTGCTAGGAACAGTCAAGTTCTATCCGCTGGACCTGCTTTCAGTTTGCAAAAGCCATAGAGGGCATAAAGTAACCCTAAATCAAGCCAGGGCAAGGCATTCTCACTAATGAGCAGGCAGCATCCATGTGGACACAGCATCCCCATGTCCCCTGTGGGACTGTAACTCTCAGGGAGGTGAGTGCAGCTACTCTGAGTGGCCATCCTGTCAGAACACCTTGGGGAAGGCTGATATCACCCCACATGAGGACTGGGCTTACCACTGAGACATGAAGAAACAGAAACGTCATCAGCACTGAGTATGGCAGGACCTACCTGGTGTTTGGAAATGCAGTCAATACCTTCTGATACTCAGAGGGCATGTGGCTGAGATGGGTCATGAAGTCAGTGCCCTGATAGAGCCTCGACTGAGGACACCATGGAGAACAGCTGCTTCAGACCCCATGGCTGTGAGAACTTCCAAGCTTCAGATCCAGAACTCAGAGGGGCTGGTGGAGCCTGCATGGTGCACCCCTCTGCCACCTTCCAGTGGGCTGTGCAGGAATAGACATAGCCAAAGAATTCTAGGCTCATCAAATAGCCAAAATAGGATCTACTTGCCATGGATAACATTATTCAGAGTCTAAGCTGTAATTAAAACAATTGTTTTAATCTTCTTCTAGATTCAGCTGAAACCTGGAATTTGCCTAAATTGGGGTTGGCCAGTGACTGACCAGCAATGGTGTTTGCCTCCAAAGACCATAGAGACATAGGGGAGGAGCTTTCTGTCTTATTTCCTCTGGGGAAAATATGACAGAGTATATAGGAAGTTCATTCTTTTGCTCTCCAAGCAAGATGGTGTCAGTATTGTGCAGAATCAGATATGGCCTTCCCCTTTCAGGAGCCTACCCAGTACAGGAGGGAAGTGCCCTGAGAGAGCTGAGACTCAGAGCCATGACTTAGTGTATGATTCTTGGCTATCACTGCCCCTCTCTGAGAGCTCTATAAGTTTTTTTCCTCTCCGAAACACCAAGGACTTTACTGACTGGTAAGAAGTGGAGATCAGCACTTTGGGTGGCCAAGGCAGGAGAACTACTTGAGCCCAGAATTTTGAGGCCAGCCTGGGCAACACAGTGAGACCTCCATCTCTACAAAAGATTTAAAAAGTAAAAAATTATCTGGGAGTGGTGGCAGACACCACTAGTTCCAGCTAATTGAGAGGCTGAGGCAAAAGGATAGCCTGAGCCCAGGAGGTCAAGGCTGTGGTGAGCTGTGATGCTGTGATCATGCTACTGTACTCTAGCCTGGACAACAGAATGAGACCCTGACTCAAAGAGGGAGAGAGAGAGAGAGAGAGAGAGAGAGAGAGAGAGAGAGAGAGAGAGAGAGAGAGAGAGAGAGAGAGAAAAGAAATGAGTGTGCCAGCCAGATGTGCAAGCCTAGGGATGCTCATCTGGTTCCCAGAGGTTTCCCCTGGCTGGTCGGGGAAGCAGCCACTGATGCTTGGCTCACAGACAGCAGGGTGGAGAGGCACAGCTATGATGCCCACGGGTCTGCTGAAAGCCCAGCCGCCCCTGAAAGGGTGGCTTGTGGCTTATGCAGCAGCTTATGTTCACCCCCTGCCTCAATTCAGAGTTCATGCTTGCATCATTTTAAATAAAACAGGATCCCCTCATGGGTGGAATGATTAATTATACAATTATTCTATTCTGTGCTATTAATCAAACATTCACTAGGCCTCACAGAAAATTCTAGATTTCCCACCAGATTGGAAATTTTGTAAAGAGCTACCAGTCACTTCTTTATTTTATATCAGCACAGCATCCAGAATGCATAAAAGTGTACAGGGCTCTCAATATGAGAGACTCCCCAGCATTCATCTCTGGGAATTCCCCTCTAGAATTCTATTAACATTAAAATGAAATACTATGCCAAGTCAAATCAGGACTGTAGAAATAAAGCCTGCTGAGGCTATTTTTCTTTCAGTGTTTATGATTCCCTGAGAATAAGTTGCCATTTGCCATTCATTCTTTATCTCCTGCAGGCTCCACCAAAAACTGGTGCCCACCTACGAAAGTGCATCCATTCGTCGATTTCAGGAGGGACGGGTGGACAACATTAGATCAGCCACTCCACAGGCACTGACTTTTGTGAGGGCCATGACTGACCACAAGGCAGATGTGCCAGTAAGTCCTGCTCCATCCTATGGAGCCACAGGAGACTAGGAAGGTTGCTGTGGGCTGCCATCTGCCTGGCTCCCCGATGACCAGATCATCTGGCTCTGATTGTCACAAAGCAGCCTCTTAAAATCTCATGCGCTGCCTCTGTATTCTGTTGACAGGCTCCTGAAAAGCTTCTGCTCCTGAAGGATGCTATCCGCGCCCAGACAGAGTACACAGTCATGGTGAGTGATGCTGTACCACAGCATCCAAGCTGTGCCCAGGGCCCAGCCACCAGATGCCCAGTGATCTGGCAAGCCCACCCCACCTCTCAGCCTCCTTCTCTTAGTTTTAGAACCTAGTTTTAAAAAAATAGAGTAACAAACTATAAAATAGTAGAAAACTATTCCTGCTTTTTACACAGATTTTACAAGGGTACAGTGAGTGGTATTTGAAACAACCATAATAATAGCACCAAATATATATAGCACCTTACAGCTTATGAAACAGAGAAATCAAAAGTGAGGGGATGGATCTCCAGCCTGGCAAACGGTAGGGACTGCTACACCATGCCCAGTGGCAGCTGAGGCAGTGTTTACTCCCACCTAAGGCCGGTTTTTGTCTCTTGTCTTCTGTGTATGTATTTACACTATCTGTGAATAAAAAGTCTTCACTGAAAATTAATAGCGAAATCAAAATTGTAAGGGAAATGTTTCCCTAGTTTAGAGAAATAATTTATTTTCTGGCACTGCAGAGCTATCATTCATGCACAAACAATAGAGAATAAGAAACTACTTGGGCTGGTGATCGATATATTAATTGTAAATCATTCTAATACAGTCTTTGGAGGATCATATGATCTATGAAAAAGAGTTGACCAGATTTCACTCTGTATACTTGCAAGCAAGTACAATGTATTTCTGGATTTCAGAACTAGCCCAGTGTAGACTTTTCTCTAATTCAGTTGCTAGGTCCTTAATTCATCTGAATATTTAAATGTTTGTTCTGTTTGGGGAAAATTAAGTACCTTCTCATGTATTCAGTGGATATTTTGTGTGTGTGTGTGTTCCTGCTTTATGCCAGGCAAGGCGCTGGGTAATAGGAAACAACAAATGAAGTTTATAAGTCTTGTCCTTAGGGAGTTTATCATGTAGTTGGGAGAGGAGGCCTTTCAACATTAAGTCCAATACCATGTAAAAAGAGCCCCCGGAAAGTAGCAGAGAACATAAAGGAGCAAGCTCCTTCCTCTGCTTAGGTAAGCTAGGAAGACTTCCCAGAGGAAGTGGTGTTTCATATGAGACAGGAAGGATGAAGAGAGGTTTGTCAGGCAGACACAGAAGGGAGAGATGACCCAAGAAGAGAACAGCATGCACAAAGGCAAAGAGTCTTGAGAGTATAAGACACATTTGAGAAAAAGTCTGCGCAGCTTGCAAATGTCAGAGGAGCAGGAGATGTTGGATTTGCCTGTTACAATGTGTACTCCACTGACTGGGTAGAAGAAAGACTGGTTGGAGTGTGGGGTGGTTTGCCCAGAGGCAGAGCCACTAATTAGAAACCTTTCTAATACTGAGGGAGAGCTGGTGTCACAACTGGAGTAGGACAGACACAAAGGTGAAGAAGACATGAACTCTGATTCAACCTGGTGGACTGACCACAGAGTTTCTGTCACTTACTCTAAACCCTCCAGTATAGCAACCAGGGAATTTTTAAGTTATACATACACTAGGGCAAAGAAAATAAGAAAGAAGTTGGAAAATAGAACATGTGATAACTGACTTTGCAAACAGTTACAGAAGCATGGAAGACCAGGTAGTTTATAAAGAACTGAAATTTATTTCTCACAGTTCTAGAGTCTGGAAGTGCAAGATCAAGTGCCAGCAGGTTTGGTGTCTGGTGAGGGCTGTTCTCTGCTTCTAAGATGGAGCCTTGTTGCTCCTCCTCCTGAGGAAATGAATGCTGTGTCCTCACATAGGGGAAGCAGAAGGGCAAGAGGGTCCAATGCTAGAAGCCTCTTTTATAAAGGCCTTAATCCCATTCATTAGGGGGACCCCTCATGACTTAATCACCTCTATCACCGGAATTCTCAGAAAAATTTTTAAAAGAAACTATTACATCTATATATAAGAGTAGGAGACTCTAAAACATTTTTAGGGAATAAAAACTCTGGGGGAAAAGATGGTAGAAAAAAAACATCTTTTTCCATTTTCAGTGGAAGGTTTGAGAGATAAGCTGAGACAACCCCAAAATACCAACAAAACAAAAAGAGAAAACATAGGAGAGAAAAGAGGCTCAATCCAGGAGAACAATATTCCAAATAATAATAGAGAAAATGGTGGAGGGGTATCATCAACAAAATAATTTGAGAAATTTCCCCAGAACTAAATAACGTGTTTCCATATTGAGTACACAAGTACCCTGCTTAATAGATAGGAAATACTCATACCAAAGGAAACTTCACAGCACCAGAGACAAAGAGAAATTCTAAAACCTCTCAAAGAAAAAAAATCGAATACAAAACTCCAAAATAAAGATGTAATTGACTTCTCAACAGCATCATTGAAAGGTGGATGCTAGTGGAGTAATACCTTCAAATTCTTTGGGAAAATGATCTTCAACACACATTCCATACCAAGCTAAACTATAATCAAATTCAAAGGTAGAATAAAGACATTTTTAAATAGACAAAGTCTCAAACTTTTACTTGTTAAGCACTCTTTCTCATAAAGCTATTAGAGAATGTAGACCTGGTCTAAAGCGAGAAAATAAAACATAAAAGAGAAAGTCATAGGCTGTAAAAATCAGATTTAACACAAGAAAGAGATAGAAGGACCTCCCAGGATGAGAATAAAAGATCACAAGTTGACAGCTGTTCAGCAGATCTAGGGAGAAATCAGTCCACAGAGAAGACAGAAGTGAAAAGATGAATGGAATTCTGGCAGAGTTTTTAGAAATCAATTAGAAATAGATACATAGAAAGCTAAATGAGTGGGGGAAAACACAATTCAAAAATTTTTTAATTGTCAATTCTAGGGAAAGCAAAAAAAAAAAAAAGCAATAAGAAAGAAAATTTAATCATAGTACTCTATATAACCTGGCTGTGAACACTTGTATAACTATAATCATGTATATTCATCTGTAGATGTGATTATACTGTATATTGATCAAACAACAAAGAATTAAAACAGAATTCTATTGGGAGGATGGGAGAGAAGTGTGCTAGGGGAGCAGGACATAAAAGAGCTAAAGTTTCCCCTTCTGTAACAAGAAGATTACAGGTAAACCTTAGAAAAGCAGTAATGGTGATCTAAGCATGTATTTAGAACAATAAAAATAAATATCAAAAATAAATAGCTAAAAAGGTTGCAAGGAGTTGACCCTGTGGAGTGAGAATCAGTGCTGGCAAAGTGACTAAGCCTTTGGCTTGTTTGGATTTTTAAATCACATAAATATATAACTTTGATAACAAATTCAAATTTATGACAATGTCTAGAAAAATATCCTCCAAAGCATTGCTGTAGGGTTCTCTTGTGTTAACGATTTTGACTTGATGAGAACAACTGAATCAAGGAGATGGAGTTGGGGAAAGGAGAGCTATAAAGATGCTTAGAGGGTGAAGCTGGTACCTGGTTAATAGTGAGAAGTATGGGAAATGGGAAGGAAGCAAGGAAACCTCCTGATAACTGGTAAGTATATTTGGTAGTGGTCTTGGAGGAAGGAAATTCCAGTGGTCCAGAAACCCCATCACTTACTCTTCCAGTGCCTTGTGCTTTTCCTTCCTAGCACTTACCTTCATTTGTGATCATATGTTTACTGCATGGTTGATGAAAATCTACCCCCCACTACACCACAAGCTCAATGAGGACAGAGACTAGGTCTGCCTTGTTCTCTGTTGTGGCTCCAGCATCTAGTAGCATCAGACATATAGTAGGCACTCAATGAAGATTTCCTGCATGAATGAATGAAATGAGTCATTTTACTCATTGCTATTCACAGTCCTGAACCAAACAATCTGTGACTTCAACCCCCTTTGCTCCATACAATTAGCTCAGAGATGGTGGAAACAAGGGAGAGCTGTCCACTCGACAGAACAGCTGCTTCTGTAAACCTACACAAACCAGGGATTAAATAGAAGTAACGAGATAAATTAAAAGAGTGGATTATGTCATAAATGGGCTCATAGTTTTTCCTCCTGCCTTAACTGGGCACATCTAACATGAGCTGGGTTGTGTAACTTATCTTTTCAGCCATAATTAGGTGCATTCGGAGAAAGTAGGGTCTCAGAGTCATCTTTATGCATTCATTCTCAACTGAAAGAGAACAGCTGTCAAATCCCAAAACGTGCCTTGTAAACCTAAGCCAAGTTCTTTGTAATGGGACGCTTCCTCCTATGTGGGGTTTTAACAGCTAAGTGGACATATGTATACTTATATATAAGTGTGAAACTCAAAGAATTATTCACAGTTATCCTAATGTTGACCCAAAGGTTATTGTTAAAGATCAGAGGTGGTCCCTTGAGTCTCCATCAGCTCCCAAGATTGTTCCAAATAAACACATTGTGCAAAAAAGCCAGGGTGCATATTACACATCTAGCCTCAAGTGGGACAGATGTAAAATGAGTACCTTCCATCACCTCTGAACCCCTCCTACATTGAAATTCTAGAAGCCTCACTGCTATTATCCTATCATTTGATAAGAATTTAAATATCTAGTGATAAAAAGAAAAAGACTTTTTCATCATTCAAATAGCTCCTTCCACTTGAAAATGTCACCTGAGCCTCTGCTAAGATGTCTAGTTCCTGTCTCTAACCCAATTTCTTAGATTATGAGTCCAGTTTAATAGACTTGGTCCTGAGTCCACAAAATAGCAGCCAAGATTCAGTCCCTTGTTTCTTGGACTCCCACTGGAGGATAACACATTGGTTGTGGTGAGAATCTGCCCAGGACAACCTGGGACATCCTTCCCAAAGCTTGGATAGGGCTCAGCAGTCCCTGGGCCCAGCACATGGCCTTCTCCCCAAACTTCTACCCCTGCCTGAGCAGGTTGGTAATAAGGATGGCCAGGCTGGCCCCACTCTTTTCATTTAGAGCACCGTGTGAGTGTAGGTGTACAGGGGGTACTCAGACGTGCTGATCTTTAACTCAAACATCTCAAGCTGGAATCCAACCTGCTCTGGACTCATTCTGTGCATGTAGAAATGCACAAGGGCCCAGGAAAAAGAAGCCATGTGGTAAAGCCATCAGTCCTGAGTGACTGATCACACATGGCAGCAAGCGCTAAGTAAGCACAAGCTGTGGCTGGTATCACCAATAGTCATCTGGACTAGTGAGGAGAAGAAGAGAAGGAGCTGGGGGAGTCCCTGTCTCCTCATTTGTTCTTTGTCTCCAACTACCCAGGCCATAACAGGGATGGCCATCGATAATCACCTGCTGGCACTGAGAGAGCTGGCCCGGGAAGTGTGCAAGGTGCTGCCTGAGATGTTCACAGATGAAACATACCTGATGAGCAACCAGTTTGTCCTCTCCACCAGCCAGGTACAGTCATGCACAGCCATCGCCCAGGGGTAGTGTAAGCAGTAAGCTTTCTAAAGAGCTCAGTGCCCGCGAGCCCACTGACTACAGTCAGTCAGGTCCTGCCTCTGCTTCTTATGAGCTATGTGACCTTTGGCAAAATGATCTAAATGTTTATTGGAAAATAATTTCCCTTTAGAAGATGGCTTCCCATCCTCTAAATGGGAGTACTCACAGACTCTACCTTAGCTGAGGTGGAGATAAGATGGGAACACATTTATTCTGCCACCTTAGCCATTACACTACACTGCCTTTCAATCTATTAGCCTGAGGGATGATATTCCACTGTGGTGACTCCAGGCTCTGATGCCTGACAGATCTGGAGTGAAGTCTTGGCTCAACCAGGAGCAATGATGTAGGGAAAAAGCCCAGCTCAGCGCCTGGTATAAACAGGACGCCCCCCCCACCCCAAACAGGTCACAGGTATTATTATAAAGGGCCGTGAGACCAACAGCAAGAGCAGATTAGCTGTCAGTCCACCATCTCTTAACCAGCACTGCAGTCTCATTCTGTGGGGGGACCACTGCCACAAAGACAGAATGAAACCCATTAGAGAGGCAATCGCTTTGGAGAGGAAATAACCCCACAACTGTCAATTCACTAAAACTTCACCTCAACTGCGAACGGCTGGACATGGGCAATAAAAGGGGATGCTAAAGCTGCGTTGGAGGATAAAAGCCCACTCAGTAATTTGATTTTGTCATTACGGCAGTGAGCATGCAGACAAGAATAAGCGAGGACAAAACACAACAACATAAATTCTTCAGGAAACCATCCCTGGGCACAAAAGTGCTTTGGAATAGCTTTATGGCCTTCGGCTGTTGCACAGCAAATTTATCTGACAATGTGGTGACTCTATTAGCAAGACTAATGGTTTGTTCTGCCCCATTAAAATGGCCAGCGTCACTTCTGAAGGCCCGAGCACACAACACCAGAAACCTGTGGGTTCAACATAAACTAGGTCTTGTACCTGCCCACAAATTCTCTTTATATTCCCTCCACAGTCAGCTAACACAATTGATTTTGGGTGTGGGGGTTTTCCTCTTATTGTTTTCCAACTGGAAAGTAGCATTTATGGCTTGAATGCCTTCAGAAACACAGTTTCTTGGTCGGTGATCCGAATTACAAACTCTCAGCACTCTGAAATCAAAACATATTAAATGCATAACTAAAACTCTAGTTGATGGCAATCTTTGAAACACCCAGTGCTGGGTAATTGTGCATGGCCAGGCTGTGGGGAAAAAAATCAGAGCAGCCAGGCAATACTGACAGTAATTAAGGATCTGGGGAAAATTGACAGAGAGGATGGGCCAGATTTCTTCCAGTTCATAAATTACTTTCTCCGGGAAGCCTCTAACTGTTGGGTGCCACCAGGGTGCCATTTAGTAAATTACTCTGATTGCTTCTGTGCTTCAAATGGCCCCCAGATGAAGGGGAGACAGCCCAAGACCCAGTACCAGGTCACTCTGGGAGCTTCCAACTCCAAAGCACAGCAGATAAAACACCAGGGAGTGGGTTTGGGGCCCCTCTTCCCTCGATATCATATGATTAGACAGGTTTATTTTTATGACTCAGGCTGTGTCCATCCATGCTGAAGCAATCGGTCTACCTGGTTAATCTAGTTAAACCCTCACGTGGAAAATAGGGAGGAAAGCCCCCATTGAGGCTCTGGGTTGTTCGAACTCCTCCCGCTCTAGCAGGCTTGCAGGTTGCATTTCAGAGCAAGCAGTTTCTGACCTGTCCTCTCCTCCAGGTGCCCACAACCATGGAGATGTTTTGCTGCTATGGTCCTGTAGTCCCCAATGGGTATGGTGCCTGCTACAATCCCCAGCCAGAGACCATCCTCTTCTGCATCTCCAGCTTTCACAGCTGCAAAGAGACCTCCTCTACCAAGTTTGCGAAAGCTGTGGAAGAAAGCCTCATTGACATGAGAGACCTCTGCAGTCTGCCACAGCCTGCCGAGGGCAAGCCACTGGCAATAAAGGAAAATGCCATGAAGCCCAGCCAGGGACTCCAACCTTGACTCCTGCCACTAGGTTTCACCTTCCAAACCCAGCCTCTGCAGCAGCCAGACCCTGCCTGTCCCCTACTCCCATGCCTCACCCCAGCTTTCTGCAGCTCCCCAACCTCAGGACCCAACCCACAGGTCACAAAGAGGTATCACACAGCTGGAGTGTTAGGAGGAAAGCGTCCCCTATTATGCATGGGAACTGTCATTATTTAGCAAGGTGTCCACTGCCTGGCTCAGAGGCAACCTGAGTGAGATGGGAGGTGCACAATGAAGACCTCCATCTGTGGTCCTCGGAGGCTTAATGTCCATGTTTCTTTCTCCAGCAGGACCTAGCATGTCCAGGTGATGTTGCTGCCTAACGAAAGAATGAGTCAGTCACCCTATTACACCAATGTACCTAGATGAATCATGAAGGAAGAGGCTAACTCTGGGTCATTAACCTCTTTTCTTTTAGGAGAGCAGGAGGCTTTGTTGTCAGATTCAAAGCATTCTGATCAGGGGATCCACAGTGCCGCCACTGAGCCACACAGTCCTGTTAAGTGTCCACTCCCCCAACACCACGCACAGCCCAAATTCATTTAAAATATAGAGACCTGGGTCCATAAACACGTTCCTCCCTTAGCTCCCAGGGGTAGCCTTCCATTGAGTTCAGAAAATTGCATTCAGCTATTCTGAAAGGAAAAAAAACTTGTTTTCCAATTGCCTTGGAGTTGTCTCCACTTTCTCCTTCCCTGGTGGCATCAGGGCCAGCCCAAGATGAGTAAACTGCATACCCCTGGGCAGATGGGTGTCTTGTATGGGGGGATGTACAGAGGACTCAGTCACTTCCAGGGTCCTACCATTTGCATTTTCTTTCCTACTTTCCTTCCCAATGTAGGTATTCCAATAGATGGAGAAGAGAGAGGGTTGCTTTGCTTTTTTTCTGTTGTTGTTATCTGTCTGTTTTGTTTTTTAAGGGAGAGGTTTTTTTAAGAAAACCACCCTGACGTTAATTTCAGAAAATGATCTCAGTGGCCCAAGCAAGACACCCTTAGACAGCTGGGCTCCTTTATTTGGAGGATGCTGTCCAGGGATTCTGACTAAAACCTATGTGGACGAACCCAGAGCAGGACTCCACTGGGCTTGGGGACCAAGGGTACAGCTGGCAGCAAGTGGGGCTGAGAGGAGGGAATGGACATATGCAGAGCCCACCTCAGCTGAGGACAGGCCAGGCAGTTCAGGAGAGTTGGAGCTGAGATGTCCTGAGAGGCTATGATCATAGAGGAGGTATGAGAGGCACTTCCCACTGGGGCACATTTTTATGGGAAGGCTAAAAGGACAGAGAACAAGAAAGCAACCAAAAAATCTACAGTGCATAAAGCAGGGGACAGCACAGAGCCCGGCTCCCACACTGCCACTCTACTCTCCCAGGGTATTCCTGAAAATGACCCCCCCCCATTCCAGTTGTGGTCTCCATCATCCTAAGCATCCACCCTAGCCCAGGGACCCTGCAAGTGTCCCTTCTTAAGACCACTGTGAAAGCTCCCTACACTTTGACCTGGACTGTCATAGGCCAGATGAAGTAGGGTGAGCATATGACCTTGGCTCAGCTCTATGAAAATACAAGCAGCATTAAGCAGTGAATTCCTTGAGTCCTGGTTTTAGATGATTTCTATTGGATGATGTGGGAGATTAGGGCATTGCCTTTCAAAGGTACAGACTTAAGTCATTGGTCTGTGGGTCCATGCTTCTTCCCTCCAACAGCTACCTTCCTGCTCTCCTTGAGAAGGGTCCCAGGGGTATCTGGGACAGGCAGCCCACTTGCTGTGAGTTGACTCAAACCCACTTGTCTGTTCTCTCCAAATGACGGTCGTGCAGATCTGAATTCTTCTCCAGTTTCCCTACATGGATTTCTGGGGAAGCAGAGAGCTCTTTGGGGTCAGGCAGCCCCACCATCCCTGGCCAAATGACTTAAATGCCCAAAGACCCAATTCTCTCCATTGTCAAAGGAGGACAAGAATGTCCCCATCTTGCAAGACTATGAGAATTAGAGAGCATATACATAAAGGACCTTGCTCGAGCAGGCAGGCAGCGGGGCTCACCTTTGGGATGACATTACCCCAGTGGGCATTGTTCAGGTGATTTTCTTTTAAGCTATTTGCACTGATATGACAAACCGAAACTTATATCTGTTTTCCAAGCATAGGGAAAGGTAACTCTGTACATTCAGATATCAAACTATGCACTGCAAGGGCTTTGAGAAGCGTGAACCACAGCAGGTACTTAGCAACAGGGAACACCTCCTATCTCTGAGGAAGGGGCTGGAAGCTGGTCTTCCCCCCTCCAAGAACAGACAGATGCACTGAATCTTAATGCAAAGACAATACTGAGCCATGGCCAAGGGCATCTCTGTGGGGACCCTGAAAAAGGAGCCTGCTCAAGGTGTCCCTTAAGAGATGGAATGAGACAGTCATTTGGAACAGTGATGCATAATAAAAACGTATATGGCCACCTTACAAAATTGCTAAGTTGCTAAAATATATAAAGTTAATATTTGAGTTCTATTTTTATAAAATAGTTATAGATTTATGGCAATATGTACATGTGTATAGCCTTTCAATTTTAATTTATAGTTTTGTGCCTTAGAGAAATATATGTATGTTTAAAGAATTGTCTATTGTAAGCATTATATTCAAATATTTAAAGACTATAAGTCTGTATTCAATAAAAAATAATGCCAAGAACGATAATGTTGGCCATTGTTTCTATCCAGAAATGCTATAAAATATAATGTCATAAATTCACTGACCCGGGTCAACAATTTATTTGCTGATGTTTACCAGCAGCAGTAGCCAATGTTTAAAAGATGTAAGGGCCAGCAGAGAAAAGGTAGGCGGGAGTTAAGCCTAGTGCATGGCATGCCATTGTGGGGTGGAAGTAAGGAGAAGGGAGGCTTCACAGGATGTTTGTAATCAAGTTGACAGAAACTTGGGTGTAGGGACAGGTGTCTCCACTTAGGCCTGCACAAACATGCATAGGCACCAGGTAGCAGAAGGGAAAGCACCAAGCTCGGAGGCAGGATGCTGGGACAATAAGCCCAGTTCTGTTTCCAACCTGCTGTGTACATCACCTCTCTAGGTTCTAATTTCCTCATCTGTACAATGGGAATGCTGGTGTCAGCACTACTTGCTTTCAGAGTTGTAGAGAGATGATCTAAGATGGTCATTGCCTGGAAACTATGTAAAAACTTAGCATTCTTGTTACAGACTCACACAGACACAAGTACATAGGTTTCTTTGCCTTGTACAGCCTACACATGTGTTCCATGCTACAAGATGCCCTCCACAGTTGCAAAAATCCAGAGTATCAGAACTGAGATTCCTCCAAATGGAGGCCCAAATGCTTTCCAATTAGAGACTAAAAAGAACTTTAAGTGTGGAGTTGCAGGATTGGGATGCAGGAAAGGCACTATTCAAAGAGATCATGGCTAAGAATATTCCAGGAGGAATGGCGGGGGAAAGGAAGAACAGGATCAAAGTGATGTGAGTGTCTTCTTATTTATTACATATATCACAAGTGGTCCCCAAATAACCAGATGTGGAGAGATAGACAGGGGCACAAACAGGCAGTGCAACCTCCAATATACAAAATAATGTCACCTCACCTGTGGAAGCTTTGAAGCTCCCTGTAGGGTGAGTGTTGGTACAAAAGGTAGGGACGAGTCCCTCTTAGGATCACAAGAGCAACTAGAAATTTCCAAATTACTTCTAAGCGGAAACACACACACACAGAGAGACAGAGAGAGAGAGAGAGAGAGAGAGAGAAAGTGCCTTGGGTTCCCTTTATAAATTTAACCAATCTCACTGCTTTTGTGTTCTCTGGGTCTTCCTTTCAAAGAAGCCTCCTTAGTCTGCAGGGTAAAAAATTTAGCATCCCTGGGAAAAGTTGACCTCACATCATGTAAAAGGATCTTTATTTATTTATTTATTTTGAGTTGGAGTCTCACTCTGTCACCCAGGCTAGAGTGCAGTGGCACACTCACAGCCACCCTCGCATCGATATGCTGGGCTCCAGTGATCCTTCTGCCTCAGCCTTCCAAGTAGCTGGAACAACAGGCATGTGCTACCACACCCGGCTAATTTTTTATTTATTGTAGAGATGAGGTCTTGTCAAGTTGCCTGGGCTGGTCTCGAACTTGTGGGCCCTGGCAATTCACTTGCCTCAGCCTCCCCAAAGTGCTGAACTTACAGGCTGAGCCACTGAGCCTGGCCAAAACGATCTTTCTAAACGCTCTGTTCTCCTTTAGTTTCCAGGTATCAGCTCTCTCCTTGTTCTTCTCCTACCATTTGCTCCTCCTTCTCCTTCAGGGATCTCTCTTCTTAGTTCTGTCCCTTATGTGTCAATGGATCCCAGACTCTGTCCTTGGTCTCTGTTTCTTATATTAAGAAGCAGCAATATGGCAGGTTGAGTTGTTGCAGAAGCCCCATCCCCCTACCTCTACACATACATTCACACAAAGAGGAAATGCTTTTAAACCTATAGTAAGGTCAGTGAGACCCGAAGGACTTCAGCAGAATCAAATACAAAACCCCTTTCCACCTTGGGAACACTGAACATCCACAGGATGTGAAAACACTCTGTTAAAGATGAGCTCACAGTCAGAAACCACAAATAACACAAGAAATGACTCACACTGAGGGAGAGTAGCAGATAAGTAAACAGGAGAATTAACATTACAGAGGCTAGAGATAATAGATTAATCAGAGGGAAAATAACCATAAAATGAATATTGTAAAAGTTATAGAATTCAAAATAGAGTAATTTGTATCAAACCCTGGTAAAATGGAGCCAGGGATGGCTATCAAGGATGGGCTCTCTTGCATGATTTGCCTAATAACAGAAACTATCACTAGAAATTTTTTCAAACCACAGCTTACTATATAGGTCACATAAGGACATTTTGCAGCACAAGGGCAGCTAGCCACTTACAATACCTGCCTGACACACTGTCTCACAAGCCCAGTCCAAAACTGCAAGGGCCTAACCCTAACTCCAAAATCCCAAATCCTACCTAATAACCACTGACACC